ATAAAATTTTTATTTCTTGTGTGTCTTTGCGTAACAATTTTTCTGTTATTTACAATCTATATAATTTCACTCAGTTTTAATTTGATAAATATTTATAATTTTTGTAAAAAGTTTTGCAATGTTAGTTTTATCGTCTGATTATCGCTATTATAATGATTATTTTATCATTTATAATGCGATTGATACTTAAGTAGTTGGCGGAAAAATCGCCGTGAGACATAATTTTATATTTTAAACTAAAAAGGCTTGGAGGTTTAATATTCTTCTTTTCTGGTAATATTTACGAATGATGTACTTATAAAGATAGATTTTTATAAAATCGTAATTTAGTTTATATGGATGGGTTGCTTAAATATTTATTTGTTCAATGACCATCATTTGGAAATACTTTTTTATGACTTTAGGTGATTGAAATAAAACAGATATCTGTGAAGTTTTCTCAAATTCAGTTGATTTTTAGATCTAACTTTTGAGAAATTGGTAGAACACGCGAAATTTTAACGTTTTTTATGGTTTTTATTTATTTTTCACAAACTAATAAAACAGTTCCTGAACCAGCAAGTGAAATAATATATCGCGCATTTAGTTAACCGATATAAGAGGGCGGCTTGTAACATTTTAACTAATAAAGTGTATTAACTGTTTATTATATATATACTATTGTTATAACTTTTTAACACACGTAATTAGTGTCGAACAGTCATATTTATGCAAACTTATTAATAAAACAACACTTCAACCAATAAGACAACATTCGAGGATCAACAACAATACACAACACAAACAACCACGGCAACACCTATAAGATGAAATTAATTCATTGTATATTCATTTTCAACGTTGTATTGATCCGGATATTCCTGCCATTAACAATTCAAATTAAATATGTTGATCAAGGGATTGATGAAAAGGAGTTCTTTGTTAAATTTTTGATAAATTAATATTTAGGAGCGTTATTTCTCTGAACGGTAGTAATTTAATGTGTGAAACGTGCTGTCTGGTGTGTGGAGAGAGAGATCTTAGAAAACAGATATCTGCTCGGAGCAATCAAATAACACACACTCATTGTTATACCTCGCATTAGATAAGCCAGGCAAATAACAAAATTATTCATGGTTAATTTTGAGGAGCTTTCGTGTATTGTCCCATGGGCTCCGTGAGAAATGCTTCTAGTGAGAAAAGGCAAAGCTAAGAATTGTTCTGGATTGTTTACTTCTGTTTTACGAATAGTTGTAATACTTATGATTTACAAAAGATGGGTCTTATAGTAGATCTGCCTTTCCCGACATGCACATGTAAAATTTCCATACAGTGAAGCCATCTTTTTCAAACTCATGGATGAATGATCTATTTAACAGAGGACATAGATATAATCAACTGTATAAAATCATTTTAGAAAACGTATCTTTAGCTAGCCTCTCGGTTTAAGAATATTATCTTTATATTGTGTGTGAAGTAGGGGATATTCCTTTCATTCATATTTTGTGTAAAACTAACGGAGGTCTTTACCGCTTAATAATTTATTATATCTTCCATGATTTAAATTCGATTAGGTTTTTACAATGTCCGCAACTATTGACCAACGTTATCATTTTCAGGTTTATACAAAAAGCTTGATTGCGCTTTAATATAATACGGGGATATCTTGTTTCTTAAATCTTTATACTCAAGTTTGGCGCCATTAAATACATGTTATTTTAATGTTCATACGGTTTTCTTCATCTAATATCAGTAGTGTTGGTTGAGTCGTATGCCTTAACAACTCTTCTCTTAATTTCCTGGTTTACTGATCAGGCGCGAAGTTAACAGGCGTAACAGATGGACTGATAAACAATTATACCTTTCCCTGATCAGGTTATAGATTGTGGGTGCAAATAAAAATCGCTCTGTATAAGAATTTGTTGTCCTTAATTTATGCGAATTGATATGTAATTTAACACGCCTACAATATAAAAATCGTTAAGATAAATACTCATTAGTACAAGATTGGGGTAGATTGATTTATACACGTTGTGCAATATTTCAGTAAAGTGATTCATACTCCGTAGAAGGTATTGGTACATTTAATTACTTGAAAGACTCCCTATGATTTTGAGAAAAACATATACATAAGAAAATATTCTGCATATTGCCACATCGCGGGATATTTAAGTTCACTAACACGAATGCCATATAGCTGTCCATTATCGGTTATTAGCGATAGATTGCAAAACGTTATTAGCTCCAGGTCAACTTAACTAAAAATGAATAGATTCTCTCTTCACTCAACATCAACAGTTATAATTGAAAATATGTTGCACAGAAATATTAGTTCCATGGCATGACCATTCATATAAGGAATGTATGAACAACTCACTCACTCACTTGATAACATTGGATAAAAAGTAATAAGAATGGTCCTTGTCTAACACGTTGATCAGTTTTCAACGGGGGTGGGCCGCGGGTGGAGTTCTTTTTTCATTACGTAGGTTGGTCATTGAATAACGGATAATGGTCAATTTGTAACTTGTAAATTGTTCAAAATTCCGTTTAAAAACAACTTTCAAAATTTAAATTTAATTGATTGAATTAGGATAACCCTTATGCCTTTTCAAGCCTCTACAGGTTTTTATGAGATGTGAATCAAAAGTACCAAAATTGTGGCCAAAATGTTGTGACAAACGAAAATTATCAGAAATCATAGTATTTCACTTTATATATAACAACATAATCATCGAGGAAAACCTCTTCATTCCCATTCGGACTTTTAAGCCGTTTTCAGCAACATCCTTAACGCTCATAAACGTTTCCTCCACGACCGAGCGAAATGGTATTCAGAAGTAGTATTAGTATTTAAACGGTACAACTTTTAAAACCAGTAAACGACAATTTTCGACATTATATCGTGTTAAAAAGAAAGAAAGTTTTGATCTTACATTTTGCTGAAAATTCAGAAGAAAAAAAAATACAATGTAAAATATCAAACATAATTATGCGAGATGATACTTTCTTAATTGTATAACTAAATGTTAAAATTGGACGCTTGCTACTGATTGTCTCAAACAGTCAACGCTTACAAAAATTATGTTGAAAAACAAACAAACAAACAACACACCACACCACACGCACGCACACGCACACGCACACACACACGCGCGCGCACACACACACACACACACACACACACACACACACACGCGCACACGCGCACACGCACACACACACACACACAGGTATTAATCTTATACCGTTTAAATAATACTTTCGTTTAAAGAAGATGTATGTAGGGTAGGATAACTGCCAATAAAGATAAAATGGGAACTTAAAAGAAAACAGTTTTACAATATATATATACAATGTACGTAAATCAATCAATTATTTCTTTTAAACCTGTTATAAAAGGTTCTTAAATAACACTGATTGTAAACGATTTATTGTGTTTGTGTTTGTTTGTTTGTTTGTTTGTTTTCAAACATAATTTTTTGTAAGCGTTGACTGTTTTATCGTTTATTGCGGGTTGGGTACAATGACATGGTTTAAAAATTGTGTTTTTACACGTAGAAAATCGCGTGGGTGGGACAGGTTACGCGATCGTGTCCGACCTAGCAAAAATACGATATTCTATCCGAAATATCGGTTTGTTGTTCAAAAAACGGGTGGTATAAGTGGGGAAGAGGGACATTTATGTTATATTGTCAACGTCTAGTGATGTCATTTAGCTGCAATTTGATATAGAGCTTTATATGATTTACGTAAAAATGACTTTGCAATTTTGACTTATACTGGACTAGTGACATTCGGATTAGGACCGATTTGGCGAGTTCAACCCCTTGTCTATATATTATTATATACAGTATATATTTTTTTTCTAGAATTACTTTTTTACACTATCCCAACACTGTGCTGGGTCCCAGTGATTGTGAACGCAACGTTTAATATTAGACGATCAGATTAAACTTGGTTTTCTGTTTGGTCGCAATATGTATTGATTTATATGTTGTTTCCTCGATGAAATGGAGAATAAATAGGAAATAATATCATCTATTTTTGTATGAGCGTCACTCTGAACCAAGGGACTTAACAAGTAAATCATTAAGTTATGCATCATTGAATGAGCTATGTTCGTTTAGTTTCGAAATCGCTTCGAAATCCAATGATGATAACAAAACGTATGCAGCAATTTCGATTGTAATAATAAAGCAATAACTAAGTGCATCCTTGCTTTGTCGTTAATTATATCTATAAATTATATATTTATGGTTTAACGTGGCAGCGGGAACATTTTGTTTTATCTTGTTAAATTTCTACAAATATTTTTTAAATCGGAAAAAAGTAAAAGGTGATAAAAGGTATTAATAAATATTATTAAGTAATTTCATGTTTTAGCTATAAAGCAAATTAAATATATCTTTTTAATATAATCATATACAATGTACACGTATTTTCAAATTTGAGAACTGGACAGAATAGAACATTTGTTAAAAAAGTAGTCCAATATTGATATACATGCAATACAAAAGACATAAGCAATAAATGTTATGAAGCTATTCGTCCACAAAATGAATAAAACAAACCCAAATGTGTAAAAATAGTAATTTCACGTCTTTGTTTTAACGAAAAAGCTTGAACAATAATTTTACTATTTTCTATTTACTAATTTAGTTTAATACAACTGTTTTATTGCTTAATTTATGAAAATATGGTTTCATTTGTCAAGTTTTATTGTTTGATATGTTTTGCATTGCCAGTGTGATGTAATTATATACTTAAAGCAAACGCGCGATATAATTCTTGATCTACTAATATATCTTAAATATCTAGTGTTGCAATTTCATGAAATAAAATATAATTTTCAAGTTTACAATAAAAAAGCATAATATAATTCTTATTTCAAAAACTGTATTTGTATTTGAAATCATTTTCATGTTACATATCATGATATGTTATTCACACAGCAATATCTAAATTATTTCTCTCATTTTGGCAACTAAAAACAAATATTTATTTATTATCGTTGCAGAATGTTTCAATCACCTGAATATAGTAACACATTGTCACTGAAGTTATCTGAGGTATTAGAGGATGTTGGTATCAATGAAGAAATAGTGATGAAAAGAAGAAGGGCTTTTATGCTTTTGGAGAATATGCAAACTGTGGTAAAGAGGTCACAAGATGATAACCTCACGGCATATTGTTTTGGGAGTCAATCTGAAGGCACAACTACTATAGGACTTAATTCAGATTTTGACATACTGTGTTTGGATCATGATTATAATGTAATACAGGACTGGTCAGAGTGGAAACAGAATAAAATAAATCTTCTTATGATACAGGATGAGAATGTAACACCTGGATATTGTTTTCTACAGGTACTTCGATCTGATGAGCCTCTCTTTGAGACAAACATTATTTGTGAAGATTTCATCAGAGATAATAAAGGGAGGATATTATTGAAAAATACATTTTTGACTGGTATAGAGCCAGGTACTGAGAGACACGGTCCAGCTAACGCTAGGCCCGAGAATGATGAATACAAAGCCGTTGATATAGTTCATGCGTTTCCCTGTAATTCATGGCAACAGTCAGCTTCACATTTACAAGAAAGACATAGCAAAGGGGGGTGGCCAACATCTGAAATGATCAGATATGTTGTAAGTAATGGTTGTTTTGTTGTTGGTGTTAGCAGTAAGATTAGTACTTACCGGGAACTAGAATGGAGAATATCGACATCATTAGGAGAAAGATGCTTTATGTTTAATCTAAACCTAACACAAATACATTGTTATGTTTTGATGAAAATTATTTTGAAATCTTTTCCAACAGCACAAAGAGAAAGTGTTTTGTCTAGTTTTATGTATAAAACTGTAGTTTTACACTGTATACAAAATACCGACCGAACAATTTGGAGAATTCTGTTCTCCTGCTTAACATATTGCTTGCTTGAACTGCAAAGCTATATCCAAAATGAAAATTGCCCGCATTTTATAATTCCGGAAAACAACCTTATGGCAGGAGAATTTACTGCTGAAGAGAAGCTTGACATTTTACGGAATATTAGTGATATAATACAGAGTGATGGTAGATGTTTGCTTCGAATAGGTATTGATGATATTGGTTATAGACTACAGGTCAAACTTCATACAGATTATGAAATATCACATGTTTTGAACGTTCCTAGTATTATAAATGAATACCTTTCAAGTTGGTTATTTATCAGCATAGCAACAAATATTAGCAGTAACACAACAACGCTTTTACATTTCATTTCAAATGGTCGTATAATCAATATCAAACAATGTTTCTTAAATCTAGTAAACTATAGTTTTCATGGAAACAAACTAGAAAAGCTTGCAAGCCGTTATCTGTTGCCGTTTCTTTATTCTACCCTTGGATCTATGATGGTGTCATCAGATATTCAACAGAATACTGCCGTTCAATATAACGCATTACAGTGGCTATCTCTAGGTCTAAACTCGGATGTAACATCCGGCAGACTTAAACTAGCGTCAGTTTTGTATTGTCTCGGCTTTTTGGGTGATGTGGAGTTCATTCTAAAACAAACTGAAAATCGATACAACTGTGATATTGTTCGACCTTTATGTTGTTGCTGCACTTATTCATCAGTGTCTGATTATTGGTCATCAGAATTAGACAGAAAATGTTACGAACTAAACGAAGATTCCATCAATCAGATCACATCTTTTTGTGTCAGATTTCTGCAAAAGGAGGTCAACTGTGTTCCTCGAGAGTTACAATATGAAATGAAGAGATCTACGCAAGATGACGTGCAACACAGCAGTGTTGAGGAAAAACAGTGGATGAACTTTGCAGTGGTTGATTCTCTCCCTTTTCTCTGCTTTTTACAGTACAAGACATACGGACATCTACATAGATACCAGGATCAACAACGAGCACTTTGTAACCTTGTAATTAGTTCCGTGTCTGGTAAAAGCCTTGGTCACAGGGAAACAGCTCTAAACCTTGTTGGTCAATGTATGGAACAGGAAAACAAATCCAAGGAGTCATTACAGTGTTTTATGCTTTCTCTTCAAGTACGAAGGAGGAACAACGCCGCAAATTTTCACATTTGTAATTTAATAAGAAAATATGCTTCTCGCATGTAGAGGTTTCATTTTCTCTCATACGTGCAGCATGAAACGTTTTTGATTGTAACAGTACAGATATGTTGAATTCTGCATTATTTAAGAGATGATCGGTCTTTAAGTCTTACTTGATGATCATAAATTTTTAACTTTTTTCTCTGCCGTTTTATTGAAAGGGTTTTGGCTGTCTTAAGGTTATACAAAGAAGCTATACATTTGTCACTATACACGCAACTTTGTTAAAGTGTTTTATAATTTCCCGCTTAATACAAAAACAATTCTTGTCCATTTCTGTAGGCTGTAAATTTTTGTCTTCTTTTTTGTTGATATTTTTGTTCAAGTATGTTTATGTTAAATTATTACAAAGGAACAATGTCATATGATACAAAAGGTCGAAATGTTTACTTATCATGTAAGTATGTACAAATAACAGTTTTATGTTATTATATATAATTGTATATTGTTTTATATTTCGACTTTGCACAAAAATGTTTAATGATTTCATGTTATCGAATACGACTTGATAAGTAAAATGTATAAATAATGTATGTGAGTAATTTTATATTTGTCCACTATTTTCAACCAGCCCCCTTAACCATTTACCACCAACATTCATTGAAGTAGAGCGAGTGCACCGTAATTCGACCATAAGCTAATTCCGAACAAAATATTATCTTCATCTGATAGTTTATCATCATGTAATGTAGACATTACATCATTATAATGGAGAAACACAAACACACACGCACGCTCGCGCGCACGCACGCACACACACACCCTCACGCACGCACACACACACGCACACACGGATAAAACTTTATTTACTCAAGCACGTGTGTACAATATGAGAATTTTCTAATATAATGAATATACAAAAGTGGGTTTTCGGGCCGTGATTTAACATCCAACTGCTAAAGTCAATGCCCGATAACACTTACCTGATATTATTTTGATATCAGGTAAGTAACCTGATATCAACAATAAGCCCTGCCCATCTCAGCGGACTTGTTTCAATAGCTTATATTCTCGTTTTAATCAGCCTTTGAATACTATAATTTTATCTTATACCCTGACAGGTATCGGATCAAGATTACTAATTATTATTTTTATTTCGTTTTCATTTACTAACAAATTAGATAGCGGATGGTGACCGCTGTTTTTTGTGTGTAAAAATTACCCGACTGAAGGGCAGTCTATTCGAAATGTATGAATAATATTTTGTACTGCGCATTTAAATATGATTAAAATTAATGAAATGTAATCAAATTAAATTGTTATTTGTAATAACTGTTAAATTAAATCATTATCATTGGACAGACGAAAACCTAAGACCAATCTTATTTTCATTTTGGATTGAGAATTTGATATATCGGAAAAAATGTTCGCTATTGTTTCATATAATGATTTCATCTGTTTTATATAATGATTTAATCTGAATCCTTTCTTAAAATTTATGCAAAATATAAAAAAGTTTACCATGCTGATTTTAAATTATAATCATTTTAATTCGTTATGATATCCAATTTCATACATTTCACAGCAACAATTAAACATAAAACTTCCAGTTTTTCAATTCCAAATTTAACGTATAAATTAAGAAAGAAAATAATGATTTGACAAACAAACAAACAATTACACATACACAAACAAACAAACAACAACAACAAAAAAGTTAATAAAAATAAAAAGGGAAAAAAGGACAATAAATGAAATAAGCCTCTTCTGAGTTTTGAAGTCCCATCGAAACTGAAAAAGAATATTCTTCTGAGAGCAGATACTGAATTAGGCACCCAATACATTTAGATATTATTTTAGCATTTTATAAAAAGAAAACATTGTATCAATAAAAATGTGTTAATATTATGCGTCTTAGAAAAAAATATTAATATATTATTGAGGGTGAAAAAGAAACAGCCGCATAAATGTGTAGTCCCATATCAGTGTTTATTGGCAGTTTAACACCGTTTTTGTTTCTTCTTTGTATACAGTACAGCAGATATATAGTGCAAAAATCACAAGGAGTGTTAGAAGAATAATTTTGCTAAGACTATACAGCTTCATTTGTTGTGTTTATCTAGGCACTAAGCCTTCTTGATAACCTCTGGGCCCTGGTCCCATGTTCACTAAGATTTAAAGACAGATCAAAAAAAAACAAAAATTTTCTCCATTCTACCCTTTTATAGATAAAATAGAAATATTTTGATACTTTGACTTGAAAGCATTTATGAAAAAAAAGGAATTAATGAATGTTTTTTTTAAAAGATGACTATAAATTTTACTTTTGCCCATTATTGATTTTGACCTAAAAAATTGATCCTTATTTTGATCCGATTATTTTTTAATTTGTTTCGATATTCGTCGACTTTATCCCAAAATAGGGTTGTTGTTTTGCAAATAAGCAAAACTGTACATTAATTTTGTATACCATTCAATTCTAGCAAATACGATCAACTTTGATTTTAATAAAACAATGAAAATAAAATCAGGATCACTTGATCCTGATCTTTTCCTTTGTGCATAAAAATTAACCCTTAAAGGGGCTAAAGAGGTCTGACAGGTAATTTGGTGTCCAAAAAAAAATGTAAACAAATTTCCTCACAAATCACAATATTATGACTAAAATATCAATAACTTACACTTTAACTAACCCTCTAACAACAATTATGCTAGAAAATGCATTTTCACATTAGCTTTTGATGCAAAAATGAAAGTTGGTTTTCCCAGACATGTACAGAAGTTACCCACAATTCATCGGGTATAACTAAAATAGGCAACGGACATTTTTGGAACAACAGAGTAAACTGGGGTAAAAAAGTCTATTGATTTTTTCTCAACACTCTAACCTATCATGTTTATATAACTTGAGTATAGCGAAGAAAAACTGTATAAAAGATAATCAAGGTAGCAATTTCGTTGTCTTGAAAAATCAAACGCCAGCGAAGCGGACATTTTTAGAAAAAACGGAATGTAAAATTATTTTCATTGACATTTCAGTTTCAATTTCAATATTCTAAGGCAAACACAATGCATCGGTGATATTTATACTATAACGAGCACAGTGTAATCACACTAATAAAAGTATTTAACGCTATCTATAACGTATTTAAATCAAATACAGTTAATGACATGTCTCATTTGATTTGATTGTTTGTTTTTGGGATGGAGTGGGAGTTACGTCACACAAAACTGTGTAGGTCATTTTGGCGACTCTTCAGTTTTACTGGTGGAGTAAGAACTCAGGTGCCCCCTTTGCAAAATTGTTTCTTGCACAAACGGGCATCTGTGTATGTAATGAGTGACGTTTGATAGGATCGTACATACACGTTCCACACACAATTACATCATATTCATACCATAGGCAAAATTAAATGCACGTTCCCTGTTGTAACAATATGAAACCCCAGAAAAAAACCTATGAACCAGCTTCTGAATGTGGCATTTCTATCGTTATTCCACAAAAAGCACCCCCCCCCCAAAAAAAGGAAAAAGAATGAGTACATCAATGGGCATGCTCTGGAGTGTTGGGAACTATTACCTGCACTCCAGTTACGCACTGTGCATGTATATGAATTCGATCTAACTCTGACACGTTTTCAACAGAAAAGTCTTCAAACTATGATACAATAAATGTTTATGATTCTATTAGAAACTTGTTTAGAATTTAATGATTTTTCGGTGAAAACGATATATATTTACTTGTACTACAGATAAGATCAAAGTGCTGAAGGTACTGAAGAAAAAACCGGATAAACTAACACATTTTCACTCCAGTTTCACAGGTAAATTAATTTTATATGTCGCGGTTTACATCTTAATATCAGCTAACCTTTGCTTTTTGAGACTTTTGTTTTTGAAAATAATCTAAACGAGTAAAATAGACCCTCTTTTGTGGGCAAATAATTTAATAAGTAGCATCCCCGATTTCTCTTTCATAAATTGGCTTAAGCAAATTCTTTTCTATTCAAATATTAAGAACATTCTGTCAGTGACGTGTCTTCTACTTAAAATCTTCCTGGTGTGTATTTTTCGGTAACAGGAAGAAAATGACAGTCTGTTCGTATCTTTCGGTAACAGGAAGAAAATGACAGTCTGTTCATTTGATCATGACTGTGAAAAATTATGTTTTGTGAACCAATATATCCTGCCGATAAAGATTTGGCAAGCAATCTGGTGGTTTATGTTCTAGTGCTTACACTTAGTATTTAATTCCAAAGAACGTTTATTAGGAGAGCTTTAACGTTTGATTACGGTATAATCACTATAACCGAAATACTTAGGAATTAATTTTAATTCCTGTTACTATGAAATTTTTCGTTCATGTGTTTAAAATACTTAAGTAGCTCTATAAATTTTCAAAACGATATCCAGTATTTCCGAAACAATTTACAAAGGCTTTTAATACACAATCTAATAAATCTTAAAGTATTACGAGAACCACCCACCTAATCTCCAGAACATACATACGAAAAACAAGATAAATTAAAAGGCTGCAAGCTCTGTGGTATTTTCTGATCTTTGCAATCTAAAATATGAATGCAATCTAAATCGCACTGTATAACTGTATTATTTTCCTGTATAAGTTTATTTTTATGTACTATAATTCTTCTTGCTTGGTACCAGAGTTTGATACATATGGAATTTTGCATGACTAGAGTTGCATCAAAAAATCATTTATGTTCATTTTTATGACAGCCAAACTTTATCCTTGCATATCGTGGCTATTTCCTTAACAAAGAAACTTTATAAAAAATAATTGCCTTTAATTGGATTTGAACCCAGACACACTAAACGAGCGCGTTACCCTTGCACCACGGAGAAGATATACGAACAATGCCTGAATAAAATCAAGTAATACTAAATTTAGATTTTCCATTGCATTTCGGGTTAATTTCGAGGTTTTTTGTTCAAGATAAACCTGTTGTTTAACATTGATATAAATAATTAAAAAAAAATCTTCTCGCTAAAACAGTCCGACATGTATATATTCCACTACTCGACAGTCAGATTTATTTGTGAAATACGCTCTCGAGATCGCTTAAAATAGCATTTTCATTGATTAAAATGATATTCATCCGCGTAATTTGTGAATGTGCATTCATTGACAATTCAATAACCCAAAGCTTCTTTTAAACTTTGAGTGCGTTGTAATTTGTTGGGTACTTATAACAAAATGAAAATATTTCTTTCTTTTAAATCGCTAGTTTTCAGCTGTTTTTAAAACTGCTTGTTGTTAGGTTTGTCGTGAAACCGCTGTATCAGAGATCGAATGTTAGCTTTGTATTTCCTGATCTTCGATCAGAAATACAAAAAGGAATGGTAACATTCAATGAATGCAACACCCACACGACCAAGCAACACAGGACCACAGCTAAATTATCAATGAAAAATTTAATTTCAGGCTTTCAAGTGGTAAATAAAAAGACTAAACAAAAAAAATATGAAAAAACAGGAAGAAAGAAGAGACAAAAGTAGAGAAAAGTAAAGGTTTTAGTGCTATAAAGCAAGAAAAGCAGGGTTCTCTTTCCTAACTTATTTATGCAATGAAATGCATTCGATGAATATTTAGCCATTGCAGTTTTTGAAAACCAGTCACTCGTGTTTTCAAAATAGTCGGGAAATGAACCTGACCTTTTTTATCAAAATATTTACAAAACTATTAACAATGAGTACTAGTATGCCATGATATGCAGGCTATAAGGAGTAAAAATAATGGTTAAGATATGCATTGCCCTTTCCCAAGTTTGTATACCGTCTAGGAGTTGGAAGTATTATAAAACATAATTTAAGCAATGGTTGTTGTATGAGGTGAGGTTAATAATATCTTACTGAATTCTTAAAGTTACTTTTACTTACCTGCCCTTCACATTTGTCTTGCAAGTATCATGATTTTGTTTGTTTCGTTTAATTTGAAAGAAAGTTAGGGTTTAAAGAACAACAACTATATAATCAGTTTTAAGTTTATTTCACTAGTCACGGCAATAACCCTGCTGTGGAAGATTGACTGTGTCGGGGGCTGCGTCCTGTGAACGTTGCCGTCGCCTTGATTGTCTTTATTCCAGTTTTCCTTTTTTACTCTCATAACGCTCTCAATTTCTTTTCCACCGGGAAGCTTCAATATATTGGTAACATTAAAGCACAGCTCAATTGACCCATCACTAGTACGGAGGCCTTCCAATAAGAAAGAAATTTATCAGGATATCTGCTAAATCAATAATGATAATAATAATATTAATAGAGCCAGATTGTAACTCTTTTCCGACCTTCTTGATAATGTTTACCATGTGCATGAAACAGGTATCAATTACCTATAGTTTTGAATGTCTAGATCAAAACGTAGTAATCTTCTCATCAACAAAGTTTACATCCAATGCGGATAATTAGCAAGTATGTATGTAAAATGATAAATATTAAATTTCAGATCTATCTAGCAAAGGAGATCGATTTTTTCTTATAGAATTTTAATTATATGCACTAGACATACATAAGAAATATTAACTAATAAAGTTGAAGCCTAAATGTCCTATAATGAGGCCGGATTCATTCTCTATTTAGCCAGTGCTTTCAGTGCTTTGATCAGAGTTAAAGAGAAATCTCTGGAATAACATTCTGTGTGTGCGTGTGATTTTTTATGCTTACAATACTCAAGTTCATGTTCGTTGTATAAAAGGTATTACGAAGTTTTCTTTCCTGAAACGGGTGTCAGATAAACCAAAGTGACCTTTGAAATAGGACCCATTACACTGATTGACAAATAAATTTTCTTGCCTAAAAATTCATGATATTTTTAACCATTAAAATTTAAAAAAATTTTCACGAAAGCTCTCAAATTTAAAATAGAAATTTTTAAAAATTTTGGGATGTCATTCCCAAACCCCCACGTTTTAGCTAAATCATTATTTAATAGAAAAAAACTTGATTACAACAATTTAATGCTTTAAATATATTGAAATTGCTTTTGAAAGATTTTTCTCACAAGAACATATCTGAACAACAAGAAATTTAACAAACAAACCCATAATATGCTTTTAAATTAATGGATTGTTGGTATATTCCACTTTCGCACTTTCGTTGGTGCCGATACATAAAAAATTCTCCGTTTCGCTTTTTAGTCATCCCGAGAATCATCACGTGACCATTGTTTTTATTCAGATTTGCAAACTGAAAGGTGTTTAAACGCTTTTCCCACAAAATTGGAGAAAATATGTATTTCAAACGACTTGCCAATCCAAAGAACACATATCAATGTATCACTGACTCTGTTTGAATATCCCTAACACGCAGGTAACAAAAAATTATCGGTTCGTGAAATTTTACTTTTTTTGTGACATTCGGCCGTACCTCAGTGGAGTACCTTTAAAGGACATGGCTGGTGATATGTCCAGGGTCCGTACTCGACAGTGAAAGCTTCATATAGTGTGTTATGCGCTGAATTATGGGTTCTACTTAAGGTGGATTTGTATCACAACACAATGTTCCGTTTTATATTTTAATGTTTCTTTCTTAGTGGAATACCACAGATAATATATAACATATACACAGGTTATCCTGATGTTAACAAATTAATATTAAAAACAGTAACAAATATTTCTAGTGGAAAGCCACAATACAATGTTATCACTTAGAAATCCAAAAATCTAACTGTCTCTAAATTTTCTACATGTATCTTTACAATAATTCTAAAATTGATTTCGTTTTAACTGACCAATAGAATTTTAACCTTTTTGTGTCTTAAATAACAAAATGACCAATCAGGTTTCAATTCAAAATAATGTAACATAGCAACATAGAATTTATAACAACAATCATCACCTGGATATTTTATCAGTCATAAGGTTTAACAACATGATAAGTACAGACAGCTTAATTGACCTTATCACCTATATATTATAAAACTTTTAGCACAGTTGATTGGACAAAGAGGAAAAGCCGCATTTTAATCTTCCAGTTACATAATTTTAAATTTGACATCTGTTATTGAAACATATACAATTTGTAACTTAACATATTTGAAATTTCACAAATTTTGTTTTAAAAATATGACCTTTTAGAAAATGATTATATATATAAATATTTGTGTTTAAAAGAAAATCATCATGCATATTTATTCTTTTTTTTTAAATGAATTTTATCATTTTTCGGCTGCACAACAAGTGCCTGAAAGGGAGGATAGACCCTCGTTTAGCATAGACTGCCTACCGAAAGGGATCAAACCACATTTAATCAAAGACAAGTAGAAAGGATACGGAAGCAAACTGGCAACCGAGAATATTGCATAGAATAATTGAAAGAGAAATAGAGAAAGAAAGGAACTTAATAAAAAGCTAAGTAGTCATTTATTATTTAAAGAGTTACTTTTCCTTTGTTTACAAATTGTAATATAAACCGGGAAGTTTTAAGTTTTTGTTTTGACAACGACGCTCTTGCATTATTTTAAGTGAGAAGGAAAACATACTACAAGAACAATTTAAAGGTAAGTCATTAATAATAATAAAAAAATAACTTGTGTACGAGTACAGCCTTTGAACTTGGCGAACTCGCGCTGAACATAATTGATTTAAATTAACTTTCTGTTGCTTAAACATTACGAATGATGTAACTTTTACAAAGATAAATGCTTACATACCGTAATTATTATATGCATGATTTGCTTAATATTTTGCTTTCAAATGACATGATATGTAAAATAACCCTCCCCTTTTCACCCTTACAATCCGTATCCCTTTAATTCCCATGTGGGCCCGTTTTAGTTTAAAATTACATTACATTACATGTCCCTCTCCTTTCACCGCCCTTATGTCCACTCCAGGTTTGGTACCTTCTGTGTGCCCTACTTTGGTGTGTCGGGGCTGCGTCCTGTGAACGTTGCCTTTGCCTTGTTGATCTTAATTCTTGTCTTTATAAACTTTACATAAGAAAAAAATAAATATCTGTGACGTTTTTCAATTCAGTTGATTTTAAGATCTAACGAGAATTGAAGAAAGGAAATTTAACGTTTCTTTTTATCTTTTTATAATTTTTTAAAGCTCAATAAATATTAACTATAACAAGTCTGAACCCAGCAAGTGAAAAAAGTAAGGTTTAGTAACCGTTAACACATTTTTGCTATTTTACTACTAAAAATGTCGTAACTGTTTATTATGAGATAGTCTATGTTCCTTTTAACCACGTTTACCTGACATTCAAATACAAATTAAAGATCCTGTATGTTGTGATCATAGTGGTAAACCACACGAAGTGAATTGATATATATATACATAATTATGCAAATAAAACAATTTTCAAACATCGAAGAATATGTAAAATATGTCCTGCAAATATTTGTGCATATTATATGTTATCATTCAAATATATACATTCATTTCTTATTTGAACTTTATAGAAAATATATTTTGGTTTTAAGAAATATTATATTATCTTATGTGTGTAGAACGACTATATCCTCAATATTTTGTGTAAAAATAAACCGATCTTAACCCATTAATAAATATCCTTCCGTGATTTAAATTCGATAGTTTTACATTGCTGCAATATAGACCCAAGTTATGCTTCAGTGCGCTTTAATTTACGACTTCTCAACCCAAAATACATGACGCATTGTTTGGTTTTATTAATTAACCTGCCAATTACATACTGATTACACGGTCGATGCACACAATATACATTATATTAATCTTCGGTAGATTTTCGGAAAGTTCCATGAGATGTACGCTGTACGTAAAAATTTAATTTAATTTGTATCTATGAACTAAGTTTGTTGAGCTTTATAGCGCAATAGGGTAAAGCACTAATTTATAATCTAAGTGCCATACATGTTTTAAGTTCGAGACCGCGTTGGTCCATGTTTTTTTTCCTTGTTAATACTTTCAACATTATTGGAGAGGTCATCAGACTGATTGCTGGCGGCATCCATTTTTGCGTATCTGATTGTAGTGAATGAATCTCTTTTAAAGCGTAAAATAATACGGAGCAGTCTACAAATATTGTTTTGCGCATGCCCCGTTTCAAAACACGACTTAACTTAAAATTAACATCAGTGTGAACAAATCGGTACATAAAAAATCGGAAAATATCATTTACGTTACTTAATGCTACGTGGATGTTTCATTCCGTTTTAATCTGTTAAACTGTATAAATCGATTACCGTATTGTTTTCTGAATAGCGTTTTACTATTTCATGTTCCGATGAATAGTAACAGTGAACATTATAGCTACAATATCACCATGCACTATCATATGACCGAGTGAACCGTGTACCGAAACTTTGCTGCTCCTTAAACTTTTGAACCGGTATGACTAACTAACGCAACGGAGATATTTGGCGCAAATGGTACAACTTTTACTCAAGTTTGATTTTCTTCAAATTTTGTGGTTGGAGGCATGCAGATTGATATACTGTTCATTCCAATCAAATAATATAAACATTTTTTATGTAAATCCAAGACTTAAAATTGTTTGATTGCTTTATGCCCGTTTTGGAAAATGTAGAGGAAATGTTTCCATATACTTACCAAAACATTAACCGAAAAATTGCATATTGAATTTTGCAAGACATTTTTATTTTGATACTACTTTTAATATATATATCGTTTATTTTAAATTTAGTTCCCTTTGTAGAAAAAGTATCACTAATGCGCCAAGAAAAGTGTCCATTTCTCCGGCATCTTTAAACAAACTTTCATTATGATACCATATTCAATATACATAATAAATCCTTTTTTGTTAAATATTGTAATTTATAACCATTCATTGTGTCTTTTATGCAAAAATATCCCCATTTTTGCGCATTTTTTAATTTCCATAGCAGCAAAAGTCCTCTCGCATGCTTCTTTTTAAAGAAGCAAACTTGTTAAAGCTACATATGATGATTTTTTTATGTTGTTCGTTTTTTTTTATGTTTTACTTAATTTTGTAAAGTCTATACTCTTTTTAAATAACATGTTTTAAGAAATCATGTTTAAAATTAAAACGGATAAAAATCAGTAAATGTCTTTTCAATGCCGTAACACACACTACAAATCGGTTCCATTAAAATATACTGCAAAAATTAAGAGAGTTAAGCCTAAAAGAATGTCGAACCACAGACCTCTTAATTTTCAGGCATTCACTTAACCGACTGTGCTACTGTGAATTAACGAAAACCTTCACATTAAGCTGGTGTGACTTTCAAATACTCCACATTAATTCTCGTAAACTACACGGACTACACCGAAGTGGGGTCGAATATTCAAATGAGTGCTATAATGTATTCATAATTGACAGATCAATAAAATCAGACAATATAAAGTCAACCGTTTCTTAGTGCTTTGCGTTTGCTTAATCAACCTTCCTCTTAAATTTTCTGTACTGATCAGGGGAAGTAACCCGTAAAGTCTCGTGCGGTTAACTCCCTGTTCAGTACAGAAATTGCAAAAAAAATTGATATTGATGTATAACACGGCTACAAAAAAAATCCCTAAGTAAAAATTCATTCTAAGAGGAATGTATTGTTTTAACTTTGTGCGATATCTTTTAAAGGTTCATATCAGTAGAAAGCAGTCACTTTTATACTTGCAAGCGAACTCCTTGATAGGAAAAACATATACATGAACTATTCTGCATGCAAAATCTGAACGGAAAACAGAAATATAACGTTTCATGTGCATCCATTTTTAAGAATGGCCTGTCTAAAGTTGATAAGTATTCAACAGGGGGTCTTTTTTCATGCGTAGGCTGGTCATTAAATAACGGATAGCGGTCAATTTTTAACTTGTAAATTGCTCAAATCCGTTTAAAAATGAATCTTGGGGTCAACTTTCAACAGGGTTAAATTTAATGTTACACAAGTATGATGAAGAATTATTGATTGAATTTGGATTTCCCTTATGTCTTTTTAAGCCTCCACACGTATTTCTGAGATGTAAATCAAAAGTACCAAAATTGTGGCTAACATTAAATGTTAAACTAAAACTAAAAACTAAATTATCAAAAATCATAATATTTCACTTTATATATAACAACATAATCATCGGAAAAAACCGTTTTGAGCAACATCATAAATATGATATTTTTACATAGCCGTTGTGATGTCATTACACATTTAAAGTAAACGTGTGATATTATTCTTGATCTATATCTTAATCAATTAAACAAAATATAATTCTAAAGTTGCATTTTCAAGAAAGAAAATATATTTTCAAGTTTACTATCAAATAAAGCAAAACGTTATTCTAATTTTAAAAAAAAATGTGTATTTGAAATCATTTTCTTGTTAAATATGTTATTCACGCAGCAATATCTAAAAAAGTTTTATGTCTCTCATTTTGACAATTTTGCATATTAATTATTGTTGCAGAATGTTACAATCGCCTGAATATAGTAACACATTGTCACTGAAGTTATCTGAGGTATTAGAGGATGTTGGTGTCAATGAGAAAATGATAATGAAAAGAAGAAGGGCTGTTATGCTGTTGGAGAATATTGAAACTGTGGCAAAGAGGTCAGCAGATGTGAACTTCACAGTATATTGTTTTGGGAGTCAATCTGAAGGCACAACTACTTTAGGACTTAATTCAGATGCTGACATACTGATGGCGGATCATGATTATAATGTAATACAGGACTGGTCAGAGTGGAAACAGAATAAGACCAATCTTCTTATGATACAGGATGAGAATGTAACACCTGGATATTGTTTTCTGCAGGTACTTCGATCTGATGAACCTCTCTTTGAGACAAACATTATTTATGCAGATTCTATCAGAGATAATAAAGGGCGGATATTATTGAAAAATACATTTTTGACTGGTATAGAGCCAGGTACTGAGAGACACGGTCCAGCTAACGCTAGGCCCGAGACAGATGGCTACAAAGCCGTTGATATAGTACATGCGTTTCCCTGTTATTCATGGCAACAGTCAGCTTCACATTTACAAGAAAGACATAGCATAGGGGGATGGCCAACATCTGAAATGATCAGAAATGTTCTATGTAATTGTTGTTTTGTTGTTTGTGCTAGCAGTAAGATTAGTACTTACCCGGAACTAGAATGGAGAGTATCCACATCATTAGGAGAAAGATGCTTCATGTTTAATCTAAATATAACACAATTACATTGTTATGTTTTGATGAAAATTATTTTGAAAACTTTTCTAACACCTCAAAGAGAAAGCGCTTTATCTAGTTTTATATGTAAAACTGCAGTATTTCACGGTATACAAAACACTGACCGAAGTATATGGAGAAGAAACAATCTGTTCACCTGTTTAACATATTGCTTGCTTGAACTGCTACGCTATGTTCAAAATGAAAATTGCCCGCATTTTATGATTCCCGAAAACAACCTTATGGCCGGACAATTGACGCCTGTAGACAAACGTTACCTTTTACGGAAGATAAGTGACATAATACAGAGTGATGGTAGATGTTTGTTTCAAATAAGTATTGATAGTATTGGTGATCGACTATGGGTCAAATTTAATACAGATTATGTATTTGTAACTCCCCGTGTTACAAATGAATACATTTTGAGTTCTTTATTTATTAGCATGGCAGGTCATATTAGCTCTAACACAACATGGCTTTTACATTTCATTTCAAATGGTCATATTGTCGATATCAAACAATGTTTCTTAAAGCTAGTACAATATAATGTTCATGGACACAGGCTAGAACAGCTTGCAAGCCGTTATCTGTTGCCGTTTCTTTATTCTACCATTGGATCTATGATGGTGTCTTCAGATATTCAACAGAATACTGTAGTTCAATTTCAAGCACTAAAGTGGCTCTCACTAGGTCTAAACTCGGATGTCACATCCGGCAGACTTAAACTAGCGTCAGTTTTGTATTGTATAGGTGATATGGATAGAGCGGAGTTCATTCTAAGACAAACTGAAAATCGATACAACTGTGATATTGTTGAATCTGTATGTCATTGCTGGGATCATCCATCGTCTGATTGGTCTTCAGAATTTGACAAAAAATGTAACGAACTAAACGAAGATTCCATCCATCAGATCACATCATTTTGTGTAAGATTTGTGCAAAAGGAGGTCAACTGTGTACCTCGAGAATTACAATATGAAATGAAAAGATCTACACAAGATGACATGCAACACAGAAGTATTGACGAAGAATTGTGGATGAATTTTGCAGTCGTTGATTCCCTCCCTTTTCTCTACTTTTTACAGTACAAGACATATGGACAGCTACAACGACACCAGGATAAAGAACGAGCACTTTGTAACCTTGTAAATACTACTGTGTCTGGTAAAAACCTTGGTCACAGGGAAACAGCTTTAAACCTTATAGGTCAATGTATGGAACATGAAAACAAATCCAAGGAGGCATTACAGTGTTATATGCTTTCTCTTCAAGTACGAAGGAGGAACAACGCCGCAAAGTTTCACATTTGTAATTTATTAAGAAAATATGCTTCTCGCATGTAGAGGTTTCATTTTCTCTCATACGTGCAGTATGAAACGTTTTTGATTGTAACAGTAAAGATATGTTGAATTCTGCATTATCTAAGAGATGATCGGTCTTTAAGTCTTACTTGATGATCATACATTTTTAACTTTTTTCTCTGCCGTTTTATTGAAAATGTTTTGGCTGTCTTAAGAGTTTCACAAATAAGCTATACATCTGTCACTATACACGCAACTTTGTTAAAGTGTTTTATATAAACAAATATTAATTTCCCGCTTAATACTAAAACAATTCTTGTCCATTTCTGTAGGCTGTAAGTTTTTGTCTTCTTTGTTGATAATTTTGTTCAAGTATGTTTATGTTAAATTGTTACAAAGGAACAATGTCATATAATACAAAAGGTCGAAATGTTTACCTATCATGTAAGTATGTACAAATAACATTTTTATGTTATTATATGTAATTGTATAATGTTTTATATTTCGACTTTGTTTATCATTTCATGCAAACAAACATGACCTGATAAGTAAAATGGATAAATAATGTATGTAAGCAATTTAATATTGGTCCACTATTTCCAACCAGGCCCCCTTACCAATTTACCACCAATATTAATTAAAGTAGAGCGAGTGCACCGTAATACGAACATAAGCTAATTCCGAAAAAATATTATCTTCATCATTTTAGCGCATTTAATGAATGTACCGCGTTAAAATGACGTCATTTTAGAAGGGAAGTATGTGTTTAGGATGACGTCATTTCGTCGTTGTTATTAAATTTGTATATTCATTCGCTATTGTAAGAAAACACTTATGAGTGAAATTACTTTAATTTCCATGAACACATATCTTATTGAGGCAAACCATTTTAAATATGAAAGAAGTATGGCAGAATATGCAAGAAAAAATATCTGACATATGTTTGCGGTTCGGATCGGAATATCCGTCCCTCGGGAACCCGCCCATGGGCGGTAACTCGGCAAGCCTCGTAACCGCCAAATGGGCGGGGTCACCTCGGGACGGACATTCCAATTTGAACCGCAACATAATTCGTCGCTCGAAAAACGTTTTGTTCTAAGTGTCATTTTGTTGTTTTTGAGAAAAAGCATTTAAAGATTTAGTATTGCATAACTTTTTTATTTATTGTCGGATTTTAAAAATTCAAAAACTACTAAACGTGGTATCGGGAGAACAAATCAATATCGTTAAAGATATGTGGATTTTAATATTTCCTTGCTTAAAAACCTAAGAAAACATTTGGAGTTAGAACAGTCATTGTAACTTTTTTTTCAAAAAATGTTAAAATCAAAGTGTTTAATGTGACTTAGAACATTTTGTCTTTTAAGTTGAATTGATTTATGTCACATAAAACAGTATGTTTTATCTTAAAAAGGATGCCAAAAATGTCCTCGGCTAATTGTCCATTGATTAGCACTCTATTACGTAGACCATATGCATCTATGACTTTTGAAATTTTATTAAAATCCTTTGTTCCAGTATATTATTAAATGACATTAAAATAAATATATAAATAAATAAAGATAAAATACCCACATAAATTTTGTAGACATTTTTATCTATTTTTATAACTTAAGCCATTACAATTTAATAATTTCAAATTGATTCAAAGTCTTAAAGATGCAAACGGGAATAGAAAACTTTCAAATCCTCTAGAATGCTGGAAAATCTTTCAAGATTTTTATTTCATGAAAATTCAAAAGATGATCAAATTCAAATTCCTTCCGAAAGTTTGAAATAGTAGTAATTACGTTGTTATGCGTATACACGTTCTGTTTGTGTTCGTAAGAAGTTCTTCTAATTGTAGGAATGAAAAAAGTGTGGCTATAACTTAAGTAGGCAATGAAAACATATCTGCTTGAAAAGACCTTAAATGTAGTAGAAGGCATGACTTATAATATTTAAAGATTGTCCATGTACAAAACATTACAAAAATAATGTCATAGAAATATACATTCAGAAATTCAAAGACAAATTACAAGACAAACTAAATGTACTATAAGAATATTTTTCTTCCTATAAAATGTTTTTACTTTAAAGAAATCTATTAGTTATAAAACATTAATGCAGTCTAAAACATAAATTTTATATAAACGCCTTATATCTATATAAATTTTCTAAAAGGCCCGTTGTGCCCCAAAATTGCTTTTATCTTTATCTCTCAAAAGCTATATATTTGGAGTTCTGTTATAGTTTCCAAAAAAAGTTCCACATTGGCCAGTAACCTAAACAATCTTATGCTTTTGTTTCTTATTTGCAAGTAGTTAAGTTACATTCATTTAGTATTTTGAATGGAAGTCAAAATACTACTTTGTTGACATTTTTCTACTTTTATTATAAAGAGAATTTAGCATTCAGGCGAAAAGTATCTAGCATGATGTTTATTATTACTTATAATTTCTAAAACTCATATTTGCCTGTTTTTAAGTAAAAACAATGGTTTCTGAGACATAATGTGCCTTTAATTAAAGAATTTTTAGAACATATAAATATTTCCTATTTACGAATTTGTTTGTTGAAATTGTATGATCACAGTTGTTTCTATCCGAAAATACACATCCGAAAAAACTTGCAAATCATGATAGTTTTATTTGCTGTTTAATCACATGCAGTTAATTCATATGACTTAAGAATAAAATGTAAATGAATTGAGTAAATTTATGAATACATAATATCATTCAATACTTACATTAAGTACTAATATATGAAATAAACAGCAAACGTTGTATAACCAGCTAGCTCAAAATGTTTCGAACAACATGGCAGGAGTCCTGCCATCACGTGATTTAATGTTATGTTTAGATACAATAATTTGGATTTAGAGCAGTTTGTTGCATATGCCCTACAGGTCACGTGGCATTTATCGATGATATGATTGGTCCAATAAGTTAGAACAGTCTATTTATCAAAATATACTGAATTTGTGGAGTTAGAACATAATGGTTTTGTTGTAATTCATTTATGAAGCTCTGAAGCACTAATAAATATAACATGCCAAGGAGATAGAACAGTCTATTACGGATTCAACTTGTTTTTGGAAAATTTGGAGATAGAACATTACAGTTTTCAAGCGACGAATATGGCAGAGATTATTAGTAACAGTCCATATACAAGTAACATGTAGTCCAAAATCAGTTTTTATTGGCAGTTTAACACCGTTCGGTTTCTTCTTTGTGTACAGTACAGTAGATCTATATAGCGAAAAAATCACAAGGAGTGTTAGAAGTAAAATTTTGGTAAGACTATACGGATAAATTAACAAATTAAAGTTCATTTGTTGTATCTATCTAGGCACTAAGCCTTTTTTTACCTCTGGTCCCATGTTCAGTTAAAATTTAAGGATCATGATCAAGATCAGGATCAAATTTAAAAACTCAGATTTTCTCAATTGCTTATCCTCATGAAATATTTAATGATTTAATGACTTAAAATGGCATGTTTATGAAATTCTAGAATTAATTTATTGTTAATTTAAAAGATATGAGAATTTTACTGTTGATCCAAATATTGTTCTTGATCCTAAATTGATCC